TTCTTCCAATTTTGGTAGATATCACTATCAAAGAGTTTTTCAGAATTTTCATTTTATTCTTTGTTCCTTTTTTAAGTAATTTTTTTAAATAATTAACTTAACAAATGATTGCTAATTTTAATTTTTTATTGAAAATTTCTATTGTTTCATACTACAATATCTTATAATTTGGTGAAACATTTTGAGGAATTATAGTAAAAGAAGCTAATAGAAAGAGAATTTTACTGTCAAATATTTATTATTAATAATCTTTTTGGATTAGTTTTCTTATAACAGTGAACTCTCCAACCTTCATCAGATGTCTGTTGCATTGTAAACAGACAACATGACCCTCACACCAGCTTTCTCCCAACCAGCCATTGATCATCCCACATTGTATTCTGATTCTTGATCTCATTGATGTTCACCAAAAGCTGGGATAGAGCATACTGTCTGTTTACAAGATAACACGATGAAAGAAACATATCACGTTGAGAAATAAGAATGCAAACACTGTTTACCATATTATATATAGATATTTTATTTAGGGTCTCACCTGCTTCTTTTTTTGGATAGATAGGTAAGTGAGACTGGTGATAACTTCTGCTATGTCAGCTCTCCCCCGCCTCCCCGACCAACTCCTTGCCAATTTACTCATCTCAATGTGGTGGCTGCCAATACAAAACTGGAGGTTTTGGAACCAAGGGCAGATCAGCACCCTCCCCAATCCCAAGCATGACTTTTAACATAGACCAGTAGCCAGATATAGTCTATTTCAGGTTTTGTTGCCACTTGATCTACATAAAACCCTCATACATCCTTTTAATTCTGCATTACCCTTCAGTCAAAGTGGATGCCACTTAAAAGACCAAACTTCAAAAGTAGTATCCCAGCATCTGATATTCTGTTTGCAATTTCAAATAAAACTCTTTACTCAGTAGTTAGTATGTCGTTCTCGTTGCTTGACTTGTTAGTGTCCACCCAAAAACTGAACTCAAAACTTCTTTGACAAGAGAAAATTGATTAACTTCTTTCTATAATAGTAAAAGTTTGATTTTGTGTCTGTGTGCAAACTCTTAAATAACTAAAATGGGGCATTGTAATCTGGAGTACTGAATTTAGGTACCCTGAAATGTACTGACATAACAAATGCAAAAAAAAAAAAAATGCTGCCACATATAGTCCAGTGTTCCTGCTATTTATCTAGAGCTCCTTGATAAAATCCAAAGAGGAATCAGCAATATTATTGGTCCTGATCTGATCAGACACTTTTCCACCCTGTGCCTTTTCTATAAATAGTTTCATGGTAATTTTTCAGTATTTAACAATTGGGTAGGGGGTTATTGTTATCATTATTTTATTTGGTTTCTTGTAAATAGTTGTGTTTTTCATATTGTAAATATTCATTCATTTTTAAATTGTTGTTTTATTCCCTTCTCCCAACAGACAATGAATTGTACATATAGGGTTTACTTAAGATTTTCATAGAGACAATGAGGTATTATGGTGTGTGTAGTAAGAAAGGTAAGTAAGAATGTGTTGTTTTGATGTTTGGAATATTTTGGCATGTTTGGATCATTGTTTGTGGCTAGCTAAGTTTAAAGTTAGGACAAAAGAAGACAATCCTTTTTACATTTCCTGTTTTTTGGCCTTGTGCCACATTTGAAGTGGAAATAAATATTGCTCTTCGCTATGGTACGTAGACTTTTTTTAATTTAAGTGCAGTACTAGAGTAGCATCAAAATCTTATCAATTTACAGTTGAGATGGCTAGAAGTATCTGTAAATTTTATTTTATCAGTTTCTTTTCTCACAATTCTAACTTGTAGAACTCTCTTTTGGCTCCATACTTTCCAGCTAACTTTAATCTTCAAAAATTTAAATACAATGTCAATCACTATTTACTGTTCTGCTGATTACTCTTTTGTTCTTGCACCTTAGTAATGTTTCTGTTTCTAACTCTTCTGTACCCAGTAACCCCTTGTGTCATAGTGACTTTACTGCCTTGCTTGGGGTGAACTCAATTAAAAAAAATGGTAAATTGTAACTGAATGATAATATTGTAAGGTCAGCATTTGCATTTAACTGGAAAGTAATTATTTTTCAAAGGTGTATTAAAGCTTATTATAAAGTATTATTCCTTACATATTTGCATATGGGTAAAAAAATCTGGGTATAAAAATAAAAAATAGTTCATCATTTGTACTTAATACACAGAAGATCATTTAATTTGCAAGGGAGCAAATTCCATAATACACATTTTTCCATTATAAATTTTTTCTCAAAAGTGACCCTACAGTATTGTCTAATGTATGCTAAATCTTTCAACAATATTTTTTTTTTTTTTTTTTTGTAATTTACAGGAAATTGCAAAACTTATCCAAAAGTGCCTTAATGAAGCTGATGGTAGAGAGATTCTGAAAAATAATAACCTTACTAAGGCAAAGACTATTGCATTCCCTCTGCTGGGAACAGGACCAAAAGGTCTTTCTCCAGAAATTTGCCATGTTTTCTATCAGACTATGCTCTTATTTTTTCTTGGACCAACAAAGTCATTGAAAAATGCATTCATCATTGTTAAACCTGAAGACAGTCATCTTATACAAGTAAGGAACTATTATTTCATAAATATTACATATTAAGAGATTAATTATACAATAGTGTTAGCAGTAGTTTTTGCTGTAATAAAGACCTGTATGTGTCTTCTCCTATGGGAGCAAAACTAAAATTAATAAGGTTTTATTTCTAATTAGAGTCCTTCCATTTTTTATTGCAATAAGTTGAATTCTTTTAGTCAGCCTAGCATATGTTATCTTACCAGTAAATTACATAAGATATTAATACATATTCAAAAGCAAGTTTACTTTTGTGATCAAACTAATTGAGAAAAGAAGAGTGTTCATTTTTTATCCAAGAAATGTCAACTTTTCATTCACTAAAAAGAAAACTTGGTTTAATAAAAATAAAGCAAAATTAATCAATAATGACTAATAAGAAATAATATTCCAAAACTATTTGAAACTTGATTATGCAGAGTAGCCATGTGAGTTTAAAGCTTATTATCTCACTTTCATTATTTATTTATCTTCAGGTTATTGAAAATCTAAAGCCTTTTGATGAAATTCAAAACTGTACTCAAGAGTGTAAGTAAAGATCATTTCTTAAATATGTTCATAGATTTTTTTAAGAATGTTTCAGTAATCATTAAAATATGTTGATGGATTTTCTGTGTAATTGCAATATTTAATTTGTATTCGGTTGGCCAGAAAATCTTGATTCACTTAGAAAGTGGAAAGAAAACAACAAAATTTTATGGCGCAATACAAACATATATTCTTCAAAATAAAGTCCATCATTCTTGACAATCTTCTGCCAGCAATCAGCCAACATCCGAATCTGTCCCAGATACCAGTCCACTGGCTTTGAATCAAAAAACTGTAAACAAGCTTCCTTCACTTCATCAAAAGTGTTGAATCACTGGTCACAAAGGAAGTGTGCAATTGAGTGGAATAGGCCATAGTCACTCGGAGCAGTATTGGGAATGAATGGTGGATGTGAAAGAATCCCAACACTGTCCATCCGTTTGAACTTTTCCTTAGTCAACCTGGCAGTGTGTGGCTTTGCACTGTCTTGCTGAAAAAAAGCTCAACCTCAATTGACCAAAGCAGAATACTCTTTCTAGCTGCTGGCAAGTGAAGAACTTTGCTTTATCTGATGAGGATGCAATGACCTCAAGGCCAATTATAATGAATATATGCTTTGTCTCTATTCAGAATTTGGTTGGAAATATTCCAGAACTCCCGGGATCCAAGTTGTTTGCTTTCAACCTTGGTCTAGATTACTTGTACATACATCGTTCCATGTGATATTGTAGTAGTGGTTACAGTGAGTTATGGCTGCAACACATTTAGAGGTAAACTAAGGCTGGCAGTTTTTACTGGAATTTTTGGTGGGGTATAAAAATATCCATTCCAGAAAGGATACATTTTGAAATGAGGGTGGCAGTTGTAAAGACAGTATGTTTGAAGATGGCTGAGAGAGGAGCTTCCACCATGTTGGATATAAGCTGTTCTAATTGGCTTTTGTGTGCCAAAAAAATCATTCTGTGGAAGGCACATCAGGGGATGCTTTTGGTGTGGCATCAACTTTGACATGGACTAGGGAATAATTCGGAAGATGCCGTGGGGAGGGGGATAAACATCAGGAGCATATGTAGGTTATTCTATGATCTGTGTCAGCTGGACAGAAACGTCTTGGCAATATCTGAGTTCATCAATATTGTTTGCCTGAATCAACCACTCTTTGTGGTGAATATTAAAGTCACCATAAAAATGAAAGCTTGCTAAGGGACACTCAGTGAGGATATTATCAATTGTTATTTGATCAAACTTTACAGTTCTGTCATCCTGCAGATGATACAGAGTGAAAATGAAATTGGTACTGTGGACAAGGACCACATGAAATCATATATATATATGATATTGGGGTCCTTGCTTTTGGGGTCACTGCCACATGGAAACATACCCTTGATATAGGTGCCAAGTCCATGGTCATGGTGATTTTGATGGGATTACAAGTCTATACACTAGGAGAGATGGATCAATACCAGTTTCAGAGTGTCTGATTTAGAGGAGGTATTTATTTTGATTCAAAAATTTCATGCAAATATCAATAAAAAGGGCTATTCAAAAACATTTTCTTCTTTTCCAGTTTTATACCCTTACATGTGGCAGGCAACGGGAAATAACCTTGATGTTATCAACTTACCAGTTCAAAATGAAGAATATACAGAAATAAATGAACATTTTCTGAACAATGCTCCACCTAAGGCACAAGTCTTAAGTGTATGTATTAAATTCTTTTTTTCTATTCAGGGTGTTTAAATTCTTTTTTATTACCACTTATTGAATTGAATGCAAATAATAACATTTCTTTTGAAAGTGTGATGATAGGACTTCAAAATAGTTTCATAAACTGAAATGATACCAATATGACATTTTTTGATTCTTTTCTGGTTATATTGAAATATGTGTAAATTTAGTTTGTAATAAATAGTAAAATAGTGATATTTCTTAAATAATATCATTATTGACCACAAAATATACCTGTAAAGTAATCAGTCATGGTTAAATGTAATTAGCAGAAAAGCCCAACAAACAGAATTGACAAAATTTGCAATAAACAATAAAAAAAATAAAGAAAAAAAAACAGGCCAAAAATAATACTAATATGAAAGGCAAAGAAACAGTAAGGAGGCAAAAAGTTCACAAACTAAGAATGGTGTTAACACACAAAAGGGATACGGACTGGCGATCACAGCATTCTAACTTCAAGACAAGAACAAACAGAACTAAGTCAGATGAGACTGAGAAGTGGTCTACTCTTATTGGTTAGAACAAAATTCCAGCATGTATTTGTGTGGTTTTACCTACAAATTGGCTAGAGGGAAGTATTTTGCAGACATTCCTATATTGTTCAAATTTTTATAACGTTTTTGCAGGCCAGTGTTTAGACATTTTTGTTTCAGATTAATTACTTTTGTTGTGTTTCTTTTTGCTTTGCCAAGTCATAATACTTTGTACTTCATTCCATTTTTTCATGGAATTTTATTTTTCAATTGGCTGATTGACAATCAGTCAAGAAGGACCTTTTTGGTTCCACCTCTAAGAGCCCTTCAAAAGAATAATTGGCTATACAAGAGGCCAAACCAAGGGAGTCACTAGAAAAGATGATCCCAATAATGTTGCCATGAGGTCGCCACCAAAAAAGACCTTGAAGAAGATGTTGCCTGTCAAGAGGAGATGACCAAATCAATGAAGCCCCCCAAATTGACTCAGTCACCTCCCATGGAGGAGGTGGCCAACAAAATCCATCACTGTCCAAAGAAGTGATAAAAAGATGTAAAGGCCAAAGAGTTACCCTGTGGTTGGAAGTCCCCACCTACCTGCATCATGAATCTGGGAGAATTCCTCAAGAAAGTTGATGTGTATGTGCATCTAATTAAAGATGGTGGCCTGTTGGCTGTGCCTGAGGAAGTAGAAAGATTTGCTCAGAGAACCATGCCTGTCTTTTTTGGTTGACAGGCATACATACAAAATTTGTCTTTCACAAAAGATAGTGATAAATCCGCTAGTGTCCCTTGGTATTTTGTGACAACAAATTATCAGGGGCATTATGTGGGAGTTACATGGCCAAAGATTGCATGGCCCTAGTTAACTGTGAGTTTATCACAAAAGAGTCTCCGTACAGAGTATAAGGGAATGTGAAAGACCAGGATGGTGGTGTATGAAGTTCCTCCACTTGTGAAGGGGGAGGTACTAGCTGTTTATTTCAAACAGTATGGTGAAATAATCAGTTTCCTCTGACCACAAGTATGGGGAATGAAGCTGTAACATGATGTTAACCTGTGAAGCATTCAGCTCCATTCTCATATGTATGGACAAAGAGTGGTAACTACTAATCTTTGTGACCAGTAGGAAACCAATTTGTTGGAAGTGTGGTTAGATTGGTCACTTAGCCCCTTCCTGTCCAAAAAAGGCCTCTGGTGTGCAACCCTCTGTCAACCAAAATCCACCTCAAACCAATGTTTCAAGTACTGACAAGCCTACAACCAGCTTCATGAAACTGTTGGTAACATTTGTGCTGGGTCCTACTGTTCCTGATACCTCTTTGTCTAACAAAGGGAAGGAGGAATGGCAAGTGGCAAGGTCCAAATAGTGGAACTTTGATCCCATAAATGTGTCAAGGCTAAAGGCATGAACAGTTCCACTTCCCTCAACTATGGAGGCCAAAGTAAAGAAGAGAAAGCCAAAGACTTTTAGTATAGGGAAGAACATCTACCATGTGTCCATAGAATAAAATATTTAAGAGTACTCCTATCCATGAAGAAGCATGGGGAGCTGGATTTGGAGGACACAACAAACTTCTTCAAAGTAAAGAAGCTCCTCATTGTGGTTCATACAGGAGAGGGAGCATAGTGGATGTGGGGCATGATAGACGAGCTGTTTGGAGCATCAGGATGAACCCACCTTTGTTTTATACCCCACCCCTTCCCATTATTAGGTAGTATATTTATCTGTTCTCTGGCGGGGGGTGAGATATTTTTGAAAGTTTTTTTTTTTTCACTTCAAGTCTTGCGTTGTTTCATCCAGTTAATTTCTGTTAGGGGTTCAAATACTAACATAATTTTGTTCAGTTTTGTATATATTCTTCATGTAAAAAGTCATTGGAGTTTAGTATTTTTTCCCTCCTTAAAAAATTGTATATCAAAAATTGTGATTAAAAATTTTACTTTAGGATTTTTACAGTAAAGGTAGCATTTTGCACGACAGTCACCAAAGTATATAAATGTGTAAGAGTAAATGTGATGTTTTGGTGAAAGGATTATTATACATACAGATGGGTCAATGATTGAGACTAGCTAGGTTTAAGATAAGTTTAGTGAAGACCAGCTTCCTCCATCCCCCATTTTGACCTTGAGCAATTTTTTAACATAAATGTGCAATAAATATTCATTATCATGTTGACAGAAAACTAACAATACCTATTCTAGTTTATTTAAAGAATTTGCAATAAGTTCAATTCAAGCTATGTAAATATCACTAAAATATATCACAGATAAAAAATATATGGTTCTGTATGTGTGTGTGTATATATACATATATATATATATATATATATATATATATATATATATATATATATATATATGATAAAAATATAGTTTCAAGGTATGCTATATTTATGGGTTAGTGCTCACTATCAGGGATAGAATGTATGTAAATATAAAAGTAGACATTAAAGGCAACATCCAGTGGTGACAGTCTGTTTCATGCTTAAATGCAATCACCAGAAAATATAAAAGTAGGTACCAGACTGTTTCATACTAAAGACAATTGTCAGGCCACATGCATTGTGCTTTTTCTCAAGTATTTATATATACAGGTCAGTCATGCACTGTGGGTAGTCTATTCTAATGGTTATTTTGGCAGGAGTGGTTTGTTAATTTGTTTGTTATTTTATTTATTTGGATTAATTTATTTTACTTGTTTTTTTTTTATTTATTTTTATTTTATTTATTCTTTTCAGTTTTTGATTTTTAAGTAATGTAGTAAAAATTTGTTTTCATGTCTGCATTTTGACATGAGTTCTGATCATTTATTTAGTAGTTTATTTTGGTCTGGAAAGGTAATTATAGCTTTTTTTTCCTCCATTTAGATTTATATATATATATATATATATATATATATATATATATGGATATATACAATACCAATTAATCCAAAGAGAGCTCAATGTAAGTAACAGAGCAATATAATAGTAATAGTAATAATCTCTCTCTTCCTCTTTTTCTCCTCCCTAATTTTTTTTTTAATTTTATATTGAAATTTTTATTTTTCTTTCTTCTTCTTTTATTATAATTTTTTTTTCCTTTTCCTTTTTCTTTTTCTTTCCTTTTTCCTCTCCTTCTTCCCTTTGTCTGGAAAAATTGATTTCATCTGTAAGAAAACCTTGGGTCTGAAGAGATGAATATTTAAATATATTTATGAAATAAATTATAACCAAAATGGATTTTTAAGGATTGTCTTTACTTATACATATGTGTGTGTGTGTGTGTGTGTGTGTGTTAATAAATATACATAATATCCCACATCGACAGTACAACTCAGAGTTCCATGCTCTATACAGTTTTCTGTTGTATATTTATTAATATATACTTAATAGCTCTGTTATTTAGCATTCAGCACTGTTTTTCTTACACCAAAGGATATATATATATATATATGTATTTGAACTCTTACACATACATTTATTTATATTTATCAATTTGAGCATATTCATATATATATATATATATATATAGTCCCTCTATTAATGAAAGTCAGCCTAGTACAAGACCATGATACCCGCACTTCACAATAATGGCGTCACCGATAGAATCTTTATTACAAATGGACAGACCTGATTTTATTCAAAGGGGGTTAAAATATTTCGCAGCCAATCCCACATCAAAGAAATTAAAAGGTAACAAATTAGATGAAGGTGAAAATGAAATCACTGATTTATTTTTAGCTCCAGCATGATGAGAAGCAATCATAAAAATCTAATTAATGATATATCCAAAAGAATTTGACAATTTAATATTCAAGGAAATTAGTGAGATAATCAAGAAAAATATTAGAACAAAAAAGATTGGTCATCATGGAACAAAATAAATTCATGTCTTTAAAACAAGAGGTCAATGAGACAATTATAAAGATTTTACACCAGCTAAGAGGTGCCAGCAGAGATGTGAATTCAAAAAACTTGGAAAAGACAAAATGTCTATAGAAGAAGAATTAACCCAACTAAGATTAACTGAGGTTTGATTAGGTTTGGCACAAGGCTTATGTCGAAGGTTTTCTTCAGGCGGCAGTCATGTGATATCAGACAACATGGTCATCTCTCATCTCAGCGTCTGCAACAACTGTCTCAGCCACTTCCATTCCTTGCATTTATTGACATTCACCTAAAACTGGGGTGGAGCATGATGCAGTTAGGGAACTCGGTGTTTCACCTATCTTCCAACAAGAGCCCTTTTGTTGTCTGACTCTGGAAAATTAATTACATTTCCAAAATTGGGGAGTTCGCCTTTTCCTATGGTTAGCAGTCACAGGTATCGATCAGCCTCAATAATTTCCTCCTTCTCTTATTGGCATCTCACACCAACACTTCCCAATGGGTGTGGGCAAAGTAATTTATTCACTAGCTCTTTATCACTTTTAGTATGAGAACAGGTAAATAACTTTATATCAGGAGAATGTGATGAGTATTTTAGGCAGAGCTGTTTTCTACATTTCTATTT